TTAGGTGGTACGATGGCCTGAACCCTGTATGGCCTAAAAAGAACATCCAACTCATATTTTATTTCCAAACCGACAATTGCCAGTCGTGGTTCAAAATACAAAACTTTCACCGACAGAAAAGGATTGTTTTAGCTCAGGATAACGATCAGGCTCACGAGGCCACGCCTATAGGCACGTAGGATTCTCTGCATTCGCTGATAGGAAAATAACAGAATTAAATTTTTAATGTGATATGTAGTGGAATTAGACTGTCATTCAGAAAAACAATATAATTTTTATTTTTTAAGATTAAGAGAGGATCTCCAAGATTACCAAGGTCGCTTGATGCGGTGTTCATCACGTATCCGAGAATTTAACTCCAGCGATTACCTAAGAAGCGTATTAAAGAGGCGCTATCACCTGCATGCACCATATTATTCAAGCAAAGTTACTCATTAGTAGGCAATTGAAACTTCTGCTCAGATAATCGCGCACTGGGATGTCGCCTTCACATATTCAATGAAGCAGCAAATGACGTTATTTCTTATAGCAAACATCAAACATTAGCAGGTTTATGATGTTCTGATTCGGCGATTAAATTTGGTTTACGTGCGTTAAATTTGTAATAATTTTGTTCGTACAGGTTCTAGTCCTCGATTAACCCTAAATTTGTAATTCCATTCAATTTATTTTGATAAACACAGAAAATAATTATAACTTCGTGATATTAAAACGAGATTTATGTTTTCTCCATTATGTTTTCTAATGTTTATTGAAGACGCAGCCAAAAAATTCCTCACTATCTTATAGCCCATATTTTTTTCGAATTTGAATTGAATTTTTGCACCCGAGAAAATCCGTAATACTTCCATGGCATTGAGAAGGCAAGGTCATGCTGAGATTTTTTCCTCGTTGCACATCATTGGCCTACAGACGGAAGAGGGAGCCACGCATGCGTGACACGAATTTCGCTGCACGTCAATTGTTAGGCATCTACAATAGGCCTAAAATTTGCCCTACTTCAATATTGAGCTCCTTAGCCCCGTGCCCGGCTTTTCGTTTATTAAAGCCAAGTCAAACTTTGAAAAATATATTCCAAGTGTTGAGCGTCCAGATGTCTGATATTGAACTTCTTGCAGTAATAACGCCCCAGCCGCCGCAGTTCTGGCGTGACCACAGAAACTCAAGGATGAGACATATGGCGGTCTCAAATATACCAACGCAATGTGGATAAAAAGAGTCAGCATTTGTCATCATGTTGTGACTTATGTAAATATTCGAAAAAATACGTTTAAGAAAATGAGATATGCATGTAATTCATTGGTGAAGGACATAGCTGGATTATTCGTAGTGTTCTATTCCACCCGTACTAATTGCTCCTCAAGAATATTTAAGATATCTAGATCTTATTTTTGAAATGTTATGCTTCGAAAATAAATCCAGCTTTGTCTTTGTTAATTAAGATATGAGCTTAATTTGCAGCACCAATGCGGCGGTATACAGTCGTGCTTTGCCGGCACTTGGATGCGTTCATAATTTTCAGCAAAATATGATCACCGTGATGGAACACAAACCACATGATTAATTTTCATTTTCAATGATCGAATTTTCTAAATTGGAAAAAAATATTGTTGGAGCCTCGACTGTTCCACTGGTAGGAAAATAACAGAATTAAATTTTTAATGTGATATGTAGTGTCTTAATTAGACTGGTTGCATTCAGCAAACAATATCTTTTTATTTTTTGAGATTCAGAGAGGATCTCTTTGTTTCAAATCGAACTTTTTAACGAGCAACAATGGAAGAGCGAGCCTCCGCCACGTGCCGCTCAGTGAGAGGCAATTAATCGGCAGATAATTGGAGCAGATTTCCTTTATTGGCAAAGACCTGGAAGACTTCTCTATCCTTTCTATGGAAAATTATAAAAAATTCAACTCAAAAAGCGATTCTACTATGATGAAAAGTTAAAAGATATATTTTAATGTATGGCAAAATAGAATGGCGATCGAGAAGAATTTTTGCTGCAATTTTCTGAGTTGATATGTAACGAAAAAAGACCCACTGTAAACTTGGTTCTATTGCATTGTTTATGTATATAGGCATATTTGTAAATCTTTTTCAGTTACAAAGCTAAAATTGTATATAGAGCTATATAGCTAGACGCCATTCCATTAAATGACCTGAGAATATATCCTTGAGAATTAAATATATATCATATCGCCCTATCGGAAAACGCCTTCAACACTGCAAGAACACTCACGAATACAGAAGCAAATTGACGTTCTAAAATTATTGAAATTTTATATTAACTAGGTAGAGTTTGTTCATATTAATCAGCTGAAGCACAATTTGAAAAAAAATTATATTATATACTCATCACGCATTATCACACTTTAGTTTACTTTATTACTTTACTTTATTTAAAAATACCATTTTACTATTTTTTAAACTTTTATTGATATTTATATTATAACTTGAGTCTAATTTTTACTGAAAGGAATCGAGTTGGATAATTTGCCCGATAATTTGCTCGCGTCCCATTTTAAGTCTCTTGACTAAGTAAAGTCTGTGTGCCTCTAAGGTAATTACAAATTAGTCCCCCATGCGGAGTAACGAGCTACTGATAGTCTAACTAAGGCCTTCAGAAGTCCCAGTCGTAAACTAGAAGTCCGATCGAAACTTCAGCACCGAGCTTCCTCAGAGGACAACTTAAGGACTCAAGGGCTCTGTTAAAGTTTGAGCAGAACTTGGCCTTAAGTTCGTCGCTGATAAACTCAACTCTGGTGATTTGAAAGACTTAATCGCACGGAGGGCTTTATAAACTTTCATCTTTGCCCTTAAAGTATCTATAAATCTCTGAAAATACAACTATTAAGACAAGAAGACCGTAACAATCATTTGCGTTACTCGCTTTGTCCTGATGCATCATAACGTAAATATTTTAGATTGACAGCATGCAATTAAATGTTTAATGTATCATTGAATTGATTGCAGGCACTAATGAGAAGCAATCAGCTGAAGTGTCACTCTAATAATTATTATAGATGGGACCCCGATAGTTAATATTCAGCAATTGTTGGAAGCTGTCGACGAGCCATCGCTTGTGTAAGGAAATTATTATATCTGATGATATACAATAACTTGCATGGTTAATAGAAGAACAGGTTACAGGTTATGTTGGAGGTAACAGGCTCATGTAAAATGAAGATAAAATCCGTATTTACAAGTCTAGCATTCATTATTCATACTGCACAGCGCTCGTAACTTGAGTTCCAATTTGTAATGTCAAACTAAAACTCTACAACAAACGATTTTTAATTTATTCTCCGATAATTGGGCACCGCAATCGATGGCGCTACGATTTGTCATCACGAGTCATTTTTTTTAAAGTTCTTGAGAGAAATATGATTCCTATTTTTTGTCACTGTCTTTGGATTCGAACTTCCCAACCAGAGCCCAACATTTCTCGTCTGATAAACTACATATCCTGAGAATACGCTTGTTAATCTGATACAGATAAAATAATTTGATTTTTACATCAATGGAAGGGTATAGGAAAGAGCACTCAGAATGCTTTTATTTTAAAGCAACAAAATTTCAGTCCTAAACATCAACCAAATTTCTATACAGGATTAATTTCATTCAAATAAATTGTATGTGGCAATAATTTACGTAGCGTCTGAAATTCGGCATCCGATATAAGTAAGAATCAATAAAAATGTGATCAGTATCAAACAGATCCTAGAGTATATATACTCGGGTATGCCTATTATATACGCGGGTATGCATATTTTACAAATCAGCTTGAAAAGATAAGATAAGAAAATTTCTGAATGTCAACGGGGATGATTTTATTGAGTAAATCATCGAAAACCAAGCAATACCCTTCATTTTCACTCGCCAACCCATTGATTAGTTAGTAAGTCACTATATAGTGTGTGCAGAAATGATACTCATCGATTGCAAGCCTTTAATCTACAAAGCTCTCCATAACTATAGAGTAGTATCCCCACTTTTTTAAATTAGTTTAATCATATCTTTATATGTTTTAAGCTGTGTTTGTGCCCAATGCCTCAGCAAAATGTAATGGAACAGTGGCGTTTTACAATTGTACTTTCACGACTTCTTCAAACAATCTGAGATACAGGACTTAGTGAACTGAAATCTTGCATTTAAATCATGAATACTGGATCGAGTTCGTGGCGACTAGTGGGTTGACAAGAGGGGAAAACAACATCCGATCACTGCAGTGAAGCAGAAGTGCAGGCAGAGGAGTGATCCTGCGCTGTGAAGTGAAGAGATCCTGCGACATGAAGTGAGGAGAGCCTTCTGCAGTATGTTATAGGCGATCCTACGTTATAATGTGAAAAGATCCTGCTGCAAGAATTTGGGAGATCCTCCAACTTCATGTGAAGAAATCCTACCGTATGAAGTGAGGAGATCCTGCGGTTTGAATTGAGATCCTACAAATGAAGCTAGGAAATCCTGCGGGCGGAAATGAAATGAGGAGATCCTTCAGGATGAAGCTAGGAAATCCTGCGGGCGGAAATTAGAAGATCCTACAAATCAAGCTAGGAATTCCTGCAGGCGGAAATGAGGAGATCCTGCAGAATGAAGCGAGCAGATCCTGCAGTAGTGCATCGTAATTTGATCCTCTGGGACCACTCACCCCGCAGCTACCCGACGCTCCGACTGCATTATCTTATTTCTATTCACTCTTTCTGATAAGGATTAGAAATAAATTCGAACGTCGCAACCTGCACTTTAAAGTAATTTAAAAAGTTTGTACTCATAATTGACATTTATCATCAATAATCTTTTTCATTGTTGTTCATAAAAAATATAATTTATTTAGTTTTAGAAACATTAATTCTCTTGCTCCCAAAGAAGAGATAAAGCAGCTATTTTTTCTTGTCCGGCGAATTGCGGGGAACCAAATGCTTTCTATTCTGAACCGACTTCTATAGCAAACTTTTGTCGCGCTCAATAATCCAATCATTAATCAAAATTTTCTTTCAACAGGCTGGCACGCTCTGTTCCCCCAACATGGAAGCCCATAAGATGCCGGTCTTCTAATTGACAGCAATTAAAAAGTGTCGACGCCGGTGAAACACAGCAATGGATCTTCTAGCTTCCACCATGTCGGTTGCCGCAACAACGTTGACCCCAGACGTAGATGTAACCAAGAACATCGAGGAATTTTTCGTAACGGAGGAAGCAGGTTCAACTATGAATTGTTCTTTGATAGATCTTGACGAGTTTGCTGAATTCGCCCTTAATGGGACCAATTGCTCGGAAAAATTGTTCTCAGGAGGAGCAAAAGATTTTATGGGGCCGGTTGTGAGTGTGATCTCGCAAATTGTGATGTTTATTGTTTTCCTCGTTGGTCTATGCGGCAATACTCTCGTTATTTACGTCGTCACGCGCTTTTCAAAGATGCAGACAGTCACTAATCTCTATATTCTTAATCTTGCCATTGCCGATGAACTTTTTGTAATTGGAATTCCTTTTCTGATCACCACGACTTACCTCGGCTATTGGACCTTCGGTGCTGTCATGTGCAAAATTTACTTGATAACTACTGCGCTTAATCAGTTCACGAGCTCGATGATATTGGCAGTGATGTGCGCGGATCGATACATCGCAGTTTGCCATCCGATAAATGCCAACAAACTTCGCACGCCAATCATCTCAAAGTTTGTGTCCCTAACAACCTGGTCGGTGTCGGCGATGCTTATCGCTCCAGTATTTAATTATGGCGGCCTTTTGGAGTACCACGGACAGCTGAACTGCAACTTTTACTGGCCCAAGAACTACGACCGGATCTGGATCCTCACCTCCTTTTTTGTGGCTTTTGCCGTTCCAGTAACTTTTTTCTTAATTTTCTACGTTTTAGTTCTACACAAACTGAAGACTGTCGGCCCCCATAAGAAATCTAGAGAAAAAAAGAAATCACACACGAAGGTAACGAAAATGGTGCTCACCGTCATCACAGTGTACGTGATTTGCTACGTTCCCTACTGGGTAATGCAGATGACTCTTTTGGCCTCAGACCCTGGCCAGAGATTAACAACCTTCAAAGTTGTATGCTTTTTATTCGCTAATGTATTAATCTACATCAACTCTGCCATCAACCCAATACTTTACGCATTCCTCAGTGACAATTTCAAGAAAAGCTTCATGAAAGCCTGCACGTGCATCAACAGACAGGATATCAACAACGCCCTGCATGTCGAAACTTCAGTGTTCCCGCGTCGCACCCGCGGCAGTTCTTCGATGCCATCACGGTCGTGCCGAGAGCGTGAGAGCTCCGTTACCACGGCCATACTTACGAAGGAGATGTCGGCAGCAATGACGACTTTGACGGGGTCTCCTGTTGCCGTAACCACTAACAATGAAGACCATAACCAGCTTAATGGGCGATCAACTTCTCCAGCATTGAATCGGTGTTAGGGCGCGGCCAGTGACCTTGAATTCTGGTGAGGTAAGTTTTAGTTTTTTTTATGAACTCATTAAAAAATTTGCAGATTTAAATTAAAATCTTCCAACAATTAGCACGAAAATAACGTTTCAAAAGAAAACAATCCTGACTTAAATTCTCTGTGATATATGCCATCATTATACCTGGAGAGCTAGGTGGAAGTAGTTAGTAGTACCTAGTAGTCTGTTGTAGTTTGTCAACTTCTCTAGTTACAGGGCGAGAAATTGCAAAATACCTGACTCATCACCAGGATTCCAAACTTCTTAATTTGCCGAGTTTAAAGCTATTTCCTCACTCTAAAGTCCATGGCTCTGTCTAATCCGCTTTAAGACTGCAATCAAGTCAATACCAAGAATTGCTCTTTCTATTCGATTTCTTGTCGACCCATAGTGTGTGGGCATGTAGATGGAGATCACTATCGATGAATTTTATGAACATTTAATAAACATCCGCTGTGTGCTCAGATCAATAACCGCCCAAACTTGATACCCAAGCCAGCACAATATATCAGCAAAATTTTCTAGTCCGATCATTCTTTCTTTCTAGTTTCATTTCTTCATCTGACGAATTAAAATTATGAAAGTAATTTTTACCATTAACCTTCTTTTTTAGAGGCAGTTATATCTTTTAATTTCTTTTTACCCTCCAATCCGTACGAAGTCGGCGCGTAAATTCGACCCGTCTTCGCATGTGGGGATTTTCCGCAATATATTTTACCCTAGACGCCAGCGAACGACTCCTGAGGGAGTAAGCCGAGGCCGCATCTCGCAATCTCAGAGACAAATTTTCAGAAATAAAAGAAAAGTTTGACCTCTTGCATTAACCCAATATTCACGTGAACTTATTTCTAAAAAATGAAGCACTCTAAATATTTTTTAACGTTTTTCATAAGCACCTGTCCCACTGAAAATGTTTCGTATCATATTCATATCTCATACCAAAATTCTCATACCGTAATTCTTTACTTCTACGCTAACATCGACAGAGCTTATGTTTTAACATAAGCTTTATTTCAAACCGAGTTATACCCGCATCCCACGTACGGCCTTCTCCAATTACCGCTGCGTTAGTTTCATCCGCTAATCATTTCCTTTGATCCTTTGCGACATTTCTTCATCTTAAAGCTCGGATGCGGCGGCGTTGTTGCGGAACGGAACGAGATCATCCGTCAAGCTGGCATCGATCAAGCGCTGTCCGCGACCGACATAAAAAATGGCCTTGTTGCCATGGCAAACAAATATACGAGCCTTTAACATAGATATGGCTTAATATGATAAACATTCAAGTCCACCACATGTGTTTATACAATAAAAGTATTACAGTGTTTGGTGGAGTGTGTATGGATAACAAATAAATTTTGGATTTTATGCCTGTCGATCTTCGACTGAATTAAAGTTCGTCATATTTTTAAACTATTTCAGCTTGAGAAAACGCTCGAAACACTCGAACATTTTGATTTTATTCTTTGTAAAGAAATTGAATCAAAGCTGGACGTTCAAACCGCACTTTTTCTTGCCTCTGCTATTTGTTTCCGTAATTGTGCAAGTCTGTATTAGAGTGTTAGATTACGTAGCATCTAATTAATAACACAGCTCAAGTTCCAGTCACTGACATTTAACAGTGCATTACATAATTACAACTAAAATAGGTTCATATTTTCGTTCAGAAACATTACGAACTTTATCCAAACATGATTTGTCTATTGTAGTTTTTATACTGATATATCTTGCATCGGACAAATATTAATTTAAATATTAATCTACTAAATTTGAATATTAAATAGTATTTAAATATTATTAATTATTAAAGTTTATATTAATATATCATTCATCCTGTTTCAAATTTACTGGTATAAACATAACTTCAGAACTCATATCCCAACTTATGTGTCCCTAATATAGAAATAATAATTATTGTTTATCCTACAGGCCGAAGATCAGCGGCTCCAGAGCGGAGGTCACCACATGCTTGACAACCCTTCCCGATATACTCTGAAGATCTTCACTTTATAAGTCACTAAACATTTATTAGTCAAGACATTATAAAATATTGTAAGATCACTAAACATTTCATTTATTAGTTGTACAATAATTGCCTATACATTAATTTAGACCTGACGACACTGGAGAAATTCAGCATGAGATGAAACTCTAACATTTTAAATGATGTCTAGGCGAGTGGGATGCTCTTACAAACTTGGTAAAATGACAATATGTTGTACTACACAAAATATGTGTAGAGAATAACTTTGACGTTTACTATAGAAATTACTGTTTGCTGTTCAGGAAAGGATTCAACTGCATCATGTAGCCCCATAAATAATTTTTTTTTAATGAAATTCGTCGTGTTTTTAAATCGGCATAGACAAAACAATTTTAGTAAAAGAAATGGCTTCCGTCTTAGCATATGGTAGCGTCCGCAATATAAGATATATATGGTTTTATTGTAGGTGCTTTCAATAACAACAAATCCTTTTTAACTAATTTTCAGTTGAAAACAACTGCCAAACTACATTGATACAATATCGTACCGCTTTATTTTACAAACTTTTAAGAATAGAATGAAGGGTGCGGGCGCTTGTTGTTAACAATGACGCATTGTGAGCCTAAATGCGTTATTATAAACTACAGTTGTCGATACCCAGGGGTAGGTTGATTTCTGACGCTCTTCTTTTCGAGATGCATATAAATATTAATTCCATTTTTGTGGTGTATGCTGGACTGGTCAGTGTAATGTTTTCTTGTGTCTATTTTAGAGGAAAAAGAACTTTATGTACACATGTCATATTGTTGAAATGTTCAGAGACCATCAAGATCACGAGCATTTTGAAGCAGGAAATAGCCCCCAAATACATACGTTCCATTTTGTCAGTCAACTTAAGCAAAGTACGCATTAGAAAATTTTTCATTTTTATTTTTTTTCTGATATCGATTCTAGGAGGAAACTCCCAAGAAGGCCATGGAAACGATTCGATTGAGTCACTTATATGTTTACATCGGTTATGTTTGTTTTCATCGATCATGTTTGTTTAAATCGGCCATGTTAGTTTACAACTTTACATCGACCATGTTTGTTTTCTCTAATGAAATCATGTCGTGAAGAAATTCAAAACCCAATGAAGTCATAAGAGAAGTTTGTTTACGTCAGCCATGTTTGTGTACATGAGCAAGAAAATTATTATTTAATGTGATTATACATCGGACGATTATAATGTAATGCTGTCTAGTCCGGATCATTTTCAACCTTATTAGCTATAGTGGATTGTTGTACGTGAATGTGAATTATTTCTTTGACGCATTTGGTAGCGTTTAGTAGCTACAACTTTTTAAATGTAACCTTATACGTGTAACCTACTTAATTTAAGTAACTGTGTCTTTAAATGATAATGTTTTGAAGAATGTGAGTGCAGATTCTCTGCTGAGGAATTTCTCTGTATTGCTTTAACGCCAACGCTCGTCTACATGAGCTGTTCTGAACTGGAACCGTGCTGGTCTCGGGGAATGGCAATTATTAACTGAATACTATTTTTCTAACGAGCCTGTCAACGGAGGATATTCTTATACAATGCATTTAGCTGTAGAATATATTCCAGACCAAGTAAAATCTTAGCCGCATTCTAAGGACGCTTTGCTTGCATAGAGAATTTCTTGTAATCATTAATTTAATTTAACGTGCGAGAGGGTATATATAATGCATGTTGTCGCACCTCTTGTGGCCAATGTTGCCTAGGAAAAAAATTAGCCGCTTTCATAATTCTAGCACCCTTTAAAATTACATTTCCTATAGATATTTTCCAAAATGGGTGTGTTAAATAAATATATAATATTATAAAAACATACAAAAATGAATTTACGATTCGTAAATTTAACTCGATCAGACTAGATCCTGGACCCAAATTGATGCGCCACGTGTCTTATGAGCATGTAAAAGAACTCCAGATTATTAATATATATACTGAAGACTTGACGGAAACAATAATTCAGTAGAAATATATAAGGAAAAAGTAGGGATTATGCTAAGAGCTTGCACGTGTGGAGCCCTAATAAGTTAGTGCTGCAATATTACCAATAATTGTCAACACTAATACGTTCTGAACTATTGATATATAATATAGTATTTATGATATTTGTATATGTGTGTTTAAAGCTCTTCGGTTTATTCGTTGATCGACGGTTTAATGTTTCATAAAATTTATATGCCTGTTGTCTGATAGTAATGCGCATTTTAGTAATTTCCTGTGATGTATATGTATGGAATAAATGTATAAGGTATAAATTTGAATGTTCTTCAAAATATTTTCGTCGACAAAGTAGTCATCTTTTTTTCTGAACGACGTAGCTTTTCTACTATAATATTCAGTGCTATAACTTTACATCCATTAGCTCCGGTTAAAGCTCGCCATAATCCCATTGAGCTGCGTGTTGTATTGAAATTTAATTATTAAAATACTTGCATCGAGTGAAAATTTATCAATTATTGTTCGAGGATTTCAGTTTCTTATTGAAATTGTATTTCTGAAATTCTGACGAAGTGAGAATTGTCTCCAATATCGCCAGAGAATTTTCGTGTTTTTTTTTTTTGTGATTCCAGTTTGAGGCTTACTGATGAAATAATTTATTATCGCAAACATGGTTGTTGGATGGTAGAGGTGATTCGTAATTGCCTTCGTCAGGATCCTTCATAGTTAGTTAGTATCTTTTATTATCAGTCCTATTCATCGGTAATAACATTCATCGTCAGTTCCCTTGAGCATCGGTAACCTTCATCGACAATACCCTAAATCATCAGCACCTTTCATGGTCATTCTGTGTTTTTTTCAATGAAGCAGGAAATCAAGCGATTTTTTTCGTTGCACAAGCTCAAACAGGACTGAGCATGTTTTGTAGCACTATGTTCATCCGTGGTGCATATGGCCTAATAAGATATGTGCAAAATCTTTAAACTTTTGATTATCCATAACTTCAATTTTGAAGTGAATGAGCGATAGTCTAATAAAATAAATACATTGTGTAAAAGATTTCAAGCACCGTCATTTCATACAAAGGGAAAGTACGATACGAGTTCAAAGCCTCTTATAAACTCTCGAGTAGGAAGAATTTGTATTCAAGTCTTTTTTAAGCTGACGTTACTTCTTTTCTTTTTCTTACTCATTACTATCAAACTGATATTATCTCAGGATATGATGCGATGGAGACGAAATATGATAGGCGGCACAAACGAACGATATGTCACATGACGCCCTTCACACGAACAGTGCCGCATGAGATGCAACACAAGAGATCACATGGCACACTTCACCCGAGATCTGTCATATGACACACGTAACATGAAATGCATGTCACTTGGACCACAAGATGTGTCATGCAGCATGTCGTAAATGTGATACGCCACCCACTACTCACAACAATCGTGATACAATGTGTATCGCAAAGATGTTTTATTCAACACACTTCTTTGCGACGTTGAGTTTTACGTATGACTTAACCCAAGTGATTGGCAAGTTTGTATACCACTCGATGTTTCAAGACTAGCACTCTATAAGCATTGTTGGTTACATAACACATAGTTATGCATTGACACACAACGTATTGGTGCAATTTGTTTAATAACATGTTTATTTGTTGCGAGATGCACATTCAATACACGTACAGTGCATCATACGTCACTCAAATAGTGTGTAATGCTACAATTCACAGAGCAGTAAATTTCTAATATACACAAAAGACTACGTGAAGTCTCAAGCGCGTTATCGCAATACAAAGGATGTGTCGGCTAACAATCTACAACTGTAATGCTTACTCAACACTCTTCACAGTATGAACTATTAACAGAGCTACTCTAATAAATGTCCGCAATCTATATAATATGAAAAAAATCGTGCACTTACAATCTAACTAACGCACCAAAAAAACTCATTTACAAATTATCACAGTTCACTATTAAGTATTTTTTAACACATGTCAAATGCGAGGTAAAAACATGATGCAAATTCGAACACATCGCGAGTATCATGTATACGTGTCGAGTATGCAGCGAGGTTAGCATGACACGTCCATTCCACGCCGTATAGCCGCAGTGTATTAAGGTGAGCGTGGGCGCCGTAATGGCAGCCGCGTTCACGGCAATTTACCGCCGTGATTACGTCGCGGTTTTGAAGACACAGCGGTCCCGCATGCTCTACGTCGCTCTGGACGTCGCGGTTTGGACGTCGCGGTTTTGAAGACACAGCGGTCCCGCATGCTCTACGTCGCTCTGGACGTCGCGGTGTAGAAGACACAGCGATCCTGTATGCTGGTTGTACCGAAAACGGTGGGCACTCCAGCACTCACTCATGTAAGATGCATTTCCGTGCCGTGAGATGCGTAATTAACATGTAAACCAGAACAAAACATGGGATTCAACCTAGCAAGAAAAATTTAAAAGAATCTGTAAAACGGTTTAATTCAATTTTTTAGTCCCGATTCCCATTCACCGCAAGATTGTAGATTGAAGAGCAATGCGAAATTTTCCGTAAGTGAGCTCAAAAATTGGCACTAAATGGGGCTTTGGAAAAATTATTCCATATATTTATACCCCCAAACTCTTTGTAATTTTGTCTTCCTTAGATGTGCGAAATGAAAAAGTGGGCAAAATTCATTGCGGTGGAAACTCGTTTAATTGATTCACCCCAATTGCAATTCCTATATGTATACCGTCTACAGAAATAGAAACAATCTTGCTTCTGTGGCATAATCAGAGCCAGACCAATGGAGCTCTCGCGAGCTGAGCAAGTTTTGTTCTTTTCGATCTCCAAATGCATGAATATGACCGTGTTAAAAGTGGCTAACCTGCATGCAAATCTATGTATTTCTGGCATTGCAGTTGCCGTTCTTTTACCTCACCTTAACCCAAGGCATCGACCACGCCGCCAATTTTGGTCAGAGATGATAATTTTAGACGAAGAATCTATTGCAGTAGTGGAGCCCTCTAGCCACTTACCTTGCATTCGAAAGCCAATGCCGCACGTCTCGTAGAGTTAGCCATCCAATACTCGGCTGTCGTAATGCCTTGTACACAACTTACGAGCTGACCACCAACAACGGCAGCGCTGTGAGCCCTATGGGGTGTGCAAGGACGTTTTGGGCCCTATGTGGTGTGTGAGGACGTTGTGGGCCCTATGTAGTGTGTGAGGACGTTGTGAGAGTTATATGGTGTGTGAGGACGTTTTGGGCCCTATGTGGTGTGCGAGGACGTTGTGGGCCCCTTAGAAGTGGCGTGTGAGGACGTTGTGGGCCCCTTAGAAGTGGCGTGTGAGGACGTTGTGGGCCCTATGTGGTGTGCGAGGACGTTGTGGGCCCCTTAGAAGTGGCGTGTGAGGACGTTGCGAGTCCCATAGAATGTGGCGTGTGAGGACGTTGTAGGCCCCACGGAAGTGGCGTGTGAGGACGTTGTGAGCCCCATGGAATGTGGCGTGTGAGGACGTTGTAGGCCCTACGGAATGTGGCGTGTGAGGACGTTGTGGGCCCCACTTAAACAGCGTTTACGGACGTTATGAACCTCACGGACGTGGCGTGTGAGGACATTTTAGGCCGAGACACCATATTGCGTGTCACCATTAACGAGTAAAAAGCCCGTTGCTATAAATTTGGGATTTCACATCGTGTCTTTAGCCAAATTACCAAATTCGACCTATTTAGAAGGAAAACTGATGAAGTTATGTATATTCTGATTTCCAATGCGTATGTTGAGCATTTTTGGCTGAAAGTATCACATAACACTCTAAAATATTGTATTTTCACGAGCATTGAAACGGTACGAAATTTATTTGCGTCAGCAAGAAGAATTAACTGTTAAATATTCGTGATAATTATCGCCACGATAACACATGAAGAAGGTTTTTG